TAGTCCCAGATACTAGGGAGGCTGAGGCAGGAGAATGGCATGAACCCGGGTGGCGGAGCTTGCAGTGAGCTGAGATCATGCCACTGCACTTCAGCCTGGGCAACAGAGCGAGACTCCATCTCAAAAAAAAAAAAAACAAAAAAAAAACAACCAAAAAACTGCTCATAGATATCAACTGCTGATGTGAAAAGAAATGGGAAATATTTATTGTATGCCATATTTTGTCATTAAACGGTGTGTCAGAAGAAAATAGGTCTCTCAGTATGTTAAAGAGTTAACAAAGCCATTATTGCTCACATACAAAGAATCTGCAGATTGTTCCTGCTTCAGTAGGTTTGACGTGCCAGGGATCTTTAGAGTACACTTCTCGGGGCAGCTTCCACTTCAGGAACTGGGCACATATGGTTATGACTCGCCTGCTCTCCTGTGAAAGAGATGATCATAGATCAGCATTTTCAAACATTTTTATTTTTTTGAGATGGAATCTCGTGCTGTTGCCCAGGCTGGACTGCAGTGGTGCCATCTTGGCTCACTGTAACCTCCATCTCCCAGGCTCAAGTGATTCTCTTCCCTCAGCCTCCTGAGTAGCTGGGATTACAGGTGCCCACCACCACGCCTGGTTAATTTTTGTATTTTTAGTAGAGACAGGGTTTCATCATGTTGGCCAGGCTGGTCTTGAACTCCTGACCTCGGGTGATCCACCCACCCTGGCCTCCCAAAGTGCTGGGATTACAGGTGTGAATCACCATGCTCAGCCTCATTTTTAAACAGAGGTAATCTTTCTTCAATAAAACTAGTACTAAAGTGCAATATGAAAAGCTGATAAAAGAGAGGAGAAGGGCAGAAAGGAACTAGAATCCTGCCCTCCTCCTCCTCCAACTTCCCCAAATAGTCCTTACATGGAATCTACAAAAACCCTAGGGTTCTGGGGAGGATGTAGAAACCACTGGTGCTGGGCAAAAGTGACAGCTTGCAGATGCAATCCCTAGACCAGAGGTTTGGGCAGGAATTCCCATTACCCTGTGCCCTAGAGATGAAGCGCCCACCTCCACTTAACTGTTCCTGTGCCATTTTTCTGTCACTCTACAAAGGAAGTGCAGCTCCTGACTTCTGTCCTGTGGCATCTCTGGGTTGGAAGGAAGGAATTCCAGAGGACTGATCTCTTCCTGATCCACATCCTTGAGCAAAATTTAGCAAGTGGGTCTCTTTTCTAGTTCGTTGTTCTCAGAATGCCACCCATGCACCATGCAACACCTCAGATGAATCTCCAAGCCAGTATTTTATCTCAGGTCCACTAGATGTTTGGGCCATAAGAATTCCTTTGGCTACTGATGGGCATATAAATCACTTCAGCCACTATATTTAGTGATTTATAAATATCTAATAAAAAGTTAAAGACACCTAGATATTCTACTTCTGGGTTTATGCCCTCAAGAAACTCTCATATGCGTGCATGAGGAAATAGGTAAAATAATTGCTGCACTGTAATAAGGAAAAATTGAAATGTCAGGCCAGGCACGGTGGCTCATGCTTGTAATCCCAGCACTTTGGGAGGCCAAGGCAGGTGGATCACTTGAGGTCAGGAGTTTGAGACCAGCCTGGCCAACATGGCGAAACCCCATCTCTACTAAAAATACAAAAATTAGCCAGGCATGGTCGTGGGCAGCTGTAATCCCAGCTACTTGGGAGGCTGAGGCAGGAGAACTGCTTGAACCCAGGAGGTGGAGGTTGCAGTGAGCTGAGATCACACCGCTGTACTCCAGCCTGGGTGACAGAGACCCTGTCTCAAAAATATTTGTGACATATATATATGAATGCTTATTTTCTTTGCAGAGTTGGCTCTGGATTTGAAGTTATTGAGGGATGAGAGACCCCGACAGTAGGCATTACCTCAGCTACTGCATCATTTTCATCCTGAGAATATAGAAGTAGTGGGACCAAGCTGTCCAGGACTTGTTTCTCTACACTCTTCTTATCTGGGTTTTTTACAGACTTTATGGCGGCTCCAAAGAGAGTCATGGAGAAACGATGAACATCAGGTCTCACCTAGGAAGGGAGTAGACAAAGGGAAGCAACTCACTGAATGTGTGCATGCTTAGCTTATAAGAACTTGGGAGGGGTTGAAAAGCCAGTCCTGATATGACGCTATTTAGCTGTATGTAGCTGAGGGCAAGAAATAAAATATATGTGCACACAGTGGCTCACGCCTGTAATCCCAGCACTTTGGGAGGCTGAGGCAGGCAGATCACTTGAGGTCAGGAGTTCAAGACCAGCCTGGCCAATATGGGGAAACCCCGTCTCCACTAAAAATACAAAAGCTAGCCGGGCATGGTGATGCATGCCTGTAGTCCCAGCTACTCGGGAGGCTGAGGCAGGAGAATCACTTGAACCTGGGAGGCGGAGGTTGCAGTGGGCCAAGATCACACCACTGCACTCCAGCCTGGGCAACAGAGCAAGCTTCCATCTCCCTCCCTCTCTATATATATATGGACACAGTAAGACTTGCTGCTTTGGCACTACTTATTTTCTCACTCTACAAGTGAGAGATGCACACAGTCTCACCTGTAGTCAGCAAACCTTGTGCCTGGTACAGGTAGGAACCATTCACACAGGCTGTTTTGCGGAAATTTGAAATCCCAGCCTTGGTATGTTTTACTCTTCCAAGGATGCTGGTCACTGTGCTCCATGTATTTCCTCTTGAGAAATATATGGGATTTGGGACAGGGACATAAATATCATCCACCATCTTGACCCAGTTCTGATAGTTCTTGAAGGGAAAGACAACGTTTTCGCCTTCCCCATCACAAAGCAGGGTAGTACCTTAGCAAGTTTCTAGGTTCAGTTTTTTTTTTGTTGTGGTTGTTAAATCTGAAAAACAGTAACATCTGCCCTATCAACATCACAGGTTACCTGGAAGGGTCTTAAGAGAGCAGGTTTGAAATGCTCTGAAAGTAAAAGTCCTATACCAAGTAGAGTGTATTTATTACTATACCAACTTCTGTTTGCTGTTATACCCATTACCCTCCTCCTAGGAAAGTCTCTCCTCTCTGATTATCTTACATCAC